TCCTCGGAAGGAAGATGGGGCAATCTACTTCCGCAGTGATACTGCCTCGGCAACCCAAGGAGGGGTCGCTATGAGTCGGGTCTGACTCCACGGCACACAATAACAACAACAACTGCCATGTCAACATTTTTTTTACGTGTACAATAAGTCAGTGTCATTAGTTGTGCAACCATCACCACTATCTGGTTCCATATTTTCCCACAGCAGTTCCCACATGCTCAGGGCCTCCTAGGCACTGACACACACGCCCTGTGATCTAGGATAAGGATGGCCCTGCAGGGGGTACATTCAGAAGTCACCAGGTTGGGATGACGGTGAGGCAATAACACAAGGTCATGCATGTACAAAGGTTACATCCTGTCTTTGTGTAAAAGTTTGATGTTTCCTTTATCATGGAATTATTGGCATTACTTTTGATTTTTAAAAAATAGTGTATTACAATATTATTGATCATGATTATTGAGCTTTGTGGCACCCCTTAAATTTGGTGCAAGAGGCCCGTGTCTCACTCAGGCTCACCCTGGCCAGGGCAAGAAAAACAGCAACAGAGACAGCGAGGTTAACAGCAAATCCCTGTCTGAAGCAAGAAACGGGGAAACATCTATTATGCACAATTTAAGTAAAAACTGTACCCCAGAGTTTGTGAACGAAATGAATGATTTCTAACACACTGCAGTCATCCACCCACGGCCATCGAGTCAACTCTGACACATAGCGACCCTCCATAAATGATATCAGTCACAGGAACTTACAAATGCAATAAAATCGTATCAATCTATATGAAAGCAGAAAAAAACAGTAAAATGTTTCTGTATCCATTGTGAATATGAAGTGAATGTTCAAATGAATTTGGAAGCTATTTCTAAAACATTGCTTTTAAGATTTTTGTTTATCATCTATCCATCACTTGGGGAAACTGATTTTTAGGCATTCACAGGTAAATTCCCTTACTTTACATGCACCACTCAAATTAAGATCAACTTACTCAGAAAGCAGTAACATTTATGATAATTATAAGGTGTTTGAGGCACAAGATTATTTAGAGTTTCAGGGTAAAAGGGGGTTATGTTTTCCAATGACTATTTCATTGTGTTCCATTCAGTGCCCCAATGCATGTTTTCAAAGACAGCTACACTTATAGGACATGCTCTTTAATTTCCTTACTGTTTGTTTTGTTGTTGTAGTTGGGTACTGTCAAGTCCATTTCAACTCTTAAGGACCCTGTCAAAACCCAAATGCACTATCGTCCAGTCAATTCTGACTCATAGACATTGGGTTTCCAAGGCAGTCAATCTGTACAGAAGTGGATTGCTTATCCTCCTCCCACAGAGCGGCTGGTGTGTTTGAACCAACCTTCTGGTTAGCAGTCAAATGCCTTAGGCACTGTGCCACCAGAGCTCCTTTAGGGAGGGAGAGAGAGTGTAAAACTGCCCCATAGGGTTTTTAAGGCTGAAATATTTAGGGAAACAGACTGCCACATCTTTCTCCAATGGGGTCACTGGAGGGTTGGAATGGACAACCTTCAGTTTAGCAGCTAAACTCTTATCCATTGTGTAATCGCAACTCCTTTTCATTTTAGTTTTTTTTTTTTTTTTTAGGATTTGGGTGAAGATTTACAGAGTAAATTCACTTTTCATACAGCAGTTCACATATACTTTGTCTCATGTCATTGACCAAAATTTACAATGCAGCAGCTCCCCTCCCACTTCCTCCCCATAGTCACCTCCTCCCAGTGTCCATCCCTTCATACTCTTCGAGAGGCCCATTTTCTGCCAACCCTGTATATGATCTTGGATACACTCTCCATTTAGACATACATAATTGTTTAGCTTGTTCACCCATCTATCCGTCCCTATACCCATATTTGCTTTCTCCTTTTCATTTTAGAAATAAGGAAATAGACTTAGAAAAAGGTCCTTACAACCCAAACCCCTTCATAATACCGCCTCCAGCCTCATTTCCAGGCTGGGTTAACCCTCCAGGCATTCTTCATTTGGGCCCTAGGGAAATTAAGTTTCTTAGTCAAGCTGTTTTAAGTCTCTGTACCTTTATGCACAATGATTTTCATGTTTGCGATATAATGCCCTTTCCCGACTTACTGTGTTCAGGGAATTCCTACTCGTTGTGAATGCAAACACACACCGTGCCTCAAGGTCCTTCTCCTCCAGAAGCCCCACTCAGAACAGATGCTCCTTTGCTGTGTTCCTGCAGCACTGTACCCCGTGACATGACAGCCTCTTGACACTACACACTCACACTGCCTAGTGATTGTTGACTCACATGTCTGACTCCCCATTAGACTTCACAGTCCTTGAAGGCAGGGACTATGCATGCATTAAGGCTCAGTGCCTAACACCAAGCTTCCTGTCTCATAAAGACACTCAACACCGTTTTGGTTGAGTCATCCTTGTTACCTCTCTTGCCCTCATGCCCCATATCCTATGGGATCATTAAGTCCTGTCTGTTCAACCATCAAGGTATTTCCCAAACCTGGCCCTGTTCTACATCTTCACCACCACCACCCTGTTCCAAGCCACCAGCCTCTCTCAGCTGGGCTATTGTATCAGCCTTCTAATTGCTCTTTGCTTTTTTCCACTTGTGCCTTTCCAATCTAGTCCCCAAACTACAGCCAGAATGGACCTTAAAACATGCAGCTCTCATCTTTGCTTCTGAACACTTTAAAGAGGTCTTTTGCAGCATATTTGCCCAATGCAGTATGTCACTGGATTGCCTGACTGCCGCTTCCATACACAGTTGATTGTGGATTCAAGTAAAAGGAAATCCTTGACAACTTCACTCTTTTCTCCGTTTACTATGATGTTGCTTATTGGTCCAGTTGTAAGGATTTTCATTTTCTTTATGTTGAGGTATAATCCATACTGAAAGCTGTAGTCTTTTTTCTTTCTCAAATTTTTTTATTGTGATTTGGGTGAAAGTTTACAGAGCAAATTCACTTTCCATACAGCAGTTCACATACATTTTGACTCATGACATTGACCACAATTCACCACAATGCAACAGCTCCCCTCCCACTTCCTCCCAACAGTCACCTCTTCCCTGTGTCCATCCCTCTATGCATCCCTGCCCCTTGACCTATATCCCTGTGCATAAACAGCCCTTCTTTCTCCCATGATTGTTCTCTCCAAGGAGTGTATCTACCTCAGGTACATGCTCAACTCCTGTTGAAGGCTGTACTCTTTAAGTGCCTCAAGTCCTCCTCCATTTCAGCAACAAAGGCTGTATCATCTGCATATCACAGGTTGTTAATGAATCTTCCTCCAATCCTGATGCCATTCTTCTTCATATAGTCCAGCATCAAGGATTATTGTTCAGCATATAGATTTGTCTTAGTTCTCTAGTGATCCTATAACATAAATACCACAAGTAGATGGCTTTAACAAGCCAAAATTGATTCCCTCACAGTTTAGGAGGCTAGAAGTTCAAATTCAAGGCGCCAGCTCTAGGGGAAGGCTTTCTCTCCCTGTCGGCTCTGGGGCTCTGTCTGGCCTTGTCTCCTCTTAACTTCTGTGGGTCCAGCATCCCTTGGAGATCTCCATGTGTCTTGGCATGTCTTCCCCTGGGTCTAGGAGGTTCTCAGTGCAGGGCCCCTGGGTCCAAAGGACACACTCTGTTCCTGGCTCTTCTTTTTTGGTGTTACTGAGGTCCCTCTTTCTCTGCTCACTTCTCTATCCTTCTTGTAGTTGGTTTCCATGGAATGTTGCCTTTTCTCACATCCCCCCTTCCTCACTAAGCACTGCTGAAATATCTGAAGTGTGGCATGGGCATAATTGCAAGTTTTTTGCTTTACATACTTTGCACAAGATTATCAGAATAAATGCTCTGGTGGCGCAGCGCCTAAGGCATTTGACTGCTAACCAGAAGGCTGGCGGTTCAAACCCACCAGTCTCTCCTTGGAAGGAAGGTTGGGCAATCTACTTCCATAGTGATACCGCGTTGCAAACCCAAGGAGGGGTCACTATGAGTCAGATCCGACTCCACGGCAGTGAGTCTGGGTTTTTTTTAGCCCCTTTGGAGGGATGCACTGTGCTTTCATCATCTGCACAGAACCTCCTAAACACACACACTTCTCCAAAGAAAAGGCTGCCCTTGTTCATATACTAAAACTAGGACAAGCAGAGGACTGGATGAACAAAGGAAGACAGGAGCAGGTACCAAGCAAAGGGTGGCGTGGTTCTGCTGCTTTAAGGGCCCAGGCTTCAGAGCTCTGAAATGAGTCAGCTCCTTAAACATGATGTGTTGGTGCAGCCCTCATTAGCATCCTACTTCCCAAGTAGAATTCATTATGATAATTATTTTTTTAATGGAATGAACCCATGTTGTTGTTGTTGTTGTTGTTAAGTGCCATCAAGTCATTTCCGACTCCTAGCAACCCCATGCACAGCAGAACGAAACACTGCCCGATCCCGCGCCAGCCCCACAATCCCTGCTATACTTGAGCCCATCATCGCAGCCACCATGTCAAT